AATTAATTCTTAACGCACCTAAACGAAAAAAGTATTCCAATTAAATATATTTACGTAGAATTAATGGAAATGTACTTTTAAAATATTCACCATAATATACTTTATAACTATGTTTTAACATATTTCTTTTGAATGAAAATTATATTATTATTTACACAAGTGTGATTTTAATCTACACTCCTTAAACAGTCTTTTCTGTAAAAGTCTTCAGTTTATTGATTATAAGATAGTTTCTAAAAGGTGGTTATCTTAAAAATCTTTACTTGTAATTGGGTTTCTTGATAACACCGTATCTTTTAATACCGTATCGTATTCTCATAAACTTTACAACATGTTTTTCAAACAAACATACTTCAAGATTTATTTATATCAAAAGTGATTATATCTATAAAATAAAAAGACACGAAACAAATAAATTTTATAAGGAATTCAGAGAAGTGTTTATAGCATACTTTGTTTCAAAGATGTCTTTATTTAATATTTCGTCTGTTCTTTCTGATCAAACTAAAGTAATACTTTTTGTAGTCTTAGCAGCAATTCCTCTAGATTTTTTAAAGATTTCTTACTCCATCAGATCTTTATGTATAGCTTTTAACTTAATCGATAAATATTCTATTTAAAATTAAAATTTTTAGGTATTTTGCTAGAAATCCATGTAATTCTTCTAATCAAACATAATTTTTTATAAATACATTTTGCTAGGGCTCTGGTTTTCCCATAATCATAATGTAATATGATATTTCTCTAAAACAAATATTTTCATAGTAAATAATTTATTCTATTCTCTTATCTTTCAAATGAACCAATAAACTTGATTAAACTTTATTCTAAAAATCAGTTTAACAACGTCAGTTTATCATTAATTTTTCTCACCCAGTCACCTGTTTGACAAATGATATTTTACTTTTACGTCTTTTTAGTGGTTTACTTGGAATTATTTTAAACAAAAGCTACTGTTATATTTCCCTCAACAAGTGTATAAGCATATGTTAACATCTTGTTACATTTACTTAGTGATTTCTTTAAAAAACATCTTCTTCATATCCTTCAACCAAATTCCTCGAGCTTACTTTAAGATTTACTGCTCAACTGTGAGTGTTAGCAGACGCTTATGATTTGTTTCCTTCTTTTGGATGATAAAGGCAATTAAAAATAGAAAGGGAATGGTTGCAATAAATTTTCAATATGATTATTTTGTACATCTTCAAATAAGTTAATTTCATTTTCACTTCAATGGAGTAAATATTTTTATGCCCTGTTTTTTATATATTTAAACTCCTAATATATATATATATTCATTCATTTGTTAAAGCAGTTATAACATCTTATCGCCATAGTTGAAGCACGAAAAAAGAAACAAATAAAATGGACTTTATTTATGTAAACGTATCGGATGTTATCTCTAATTGTCAACCAAGAAACACAGCCATGAAAATGTTCTAGTTTTTGTGGCTGTTAAACTTACACTGTGACTAGCGTCTTATCTAAAAGTCTAGTTGTCATTAGTGTGGTTATATGGTCGAAAGTGCCTCATGGGGATCGCATATACATATTTCAAAGCACACCATAATCTTATTTATATCATTTTTAGTGATATTTCTACTAAGAACGCACCGTATGCATGACATGTATGCGAGTAGAAGGTAATTTCGATCTCTCAAATATATACTAAAAAAATCAACTCAAAAACTTTGCTCGTTTATAATATCAGAGGTTTATCACTGATACATTTGATGGTTGACCAAAAACTCACTAAGAGTGACAAACTATCAGATTTAACTCAAGCAAATCCTATATAGAACAGATACCTTCTCAGCATTTCATGTACTCAGACTTGTACTATAAGAAACAAAAGATATAATTCCAATAAACACAACTCAAAGCTACACAATAGGTTATCTGTGCTCTGCCCACCACGGGTATCGAAACCCGGTTTCTAGCGTTGTAAGTCCGCAGAGATACCACTGTGCCACTGGCGGGCATATTATGGGTAACCAAAATGTTAGGATGGATATTGGGCCTCTTAAAAATGATAGTGGGGAGCTGCTCTCGGAAGATTATGAGATAGTAAACTTATTAAATTATAAGTTCTCTTCAGTTTTTACGAAAGAAAATACAAGTGTTATGCTTCAACCAGGACACTTAATGTATGGGGAAATTATTGATGTAAAAGATATAATTTTAAGCTCTGAAATTGTAAGAGAAAAGTTGGGAAACCTAAAAATTGATAAATCCCCTGGACCAGACAACTATTATTCTAGAGTTTTAAAGGAACTTAAAGATTTTTACTTGTGAACCGTTAGCTAATATTTTTATAGGTCATTGAGTAGTGGAAGAGTATTAGAAGATTGAAAGTTGGCAAACGTTCATCAAATATATAAAGGAGATGATAAACATTGTCCAGGCAATTATAGGCTTGTTAGTCTTACACCAGTAGTTGGAAAGGTTTTGGAGAGTGTGATTAAAGATCAATTGCACAGTCACTTAAAGCAGTTTGATAAAGAGCCAGCATGGTTTCACTAAGGAAGAATCTTGTTTAACAAATCTTCTGACTTTCTTTGAGGTGTTATTGCAAGAGCTGATGAAGGTAATACTGTGGATTTAGTTTACCTTGATTTCCAGGAAGCGTTTGATAAGGTGCCTAACAAAAGACTTGTTACAATAATTAAGTCTGTGGGTATGGGGGAAATGTTATTAAATTGGATAGAAAATTGACTGAAGAGTAGAAAGCAGAGAGTAGTAATAAATGAAGTTAGATCTAACTGGATCACAGTTACAATTGGTGTGCCTCAGGACTCTGTGCTGGTTCCTCTGCTGTTTGTAATTTATATTAAAGATATCAACTCTGAAATGACTAACACAATCTTGAAGTCTGCAGATGACATTAAGATTTTTTGGGTGGCTAACTGTATCAAAGATGCTGCAGACATACAGGGAGATTTAGATTATTTCATGCATTGGGCCAATACGTGGCAAATAATGCTTAACTATCTAAAATGTAAGGTGATGCATGCAGGTTTTCACAAATCAAATAATTTGTACAATTTAACTGAGAATACATTAAACACTGTGGTTGAAGAAAAGACCTTGATGTTGTAATCGAAAAATCACTTAAGTTACCAAAATAGTGTATTGTAGCTAGCAATAGGGCTAATAGGATTTTGGGTAGCATCTATAGAAATATTGAATACAAGACAAGGGATATTATTGTTTCGCTGTATTGATCACTTATTATGCCTAATTTAGTGTAATGTGTACAGTCTTGGGCTCCCTTTCTCAAGAAAAATATTGAATTGTTGGAGAAGGTTAATGGAAGAGCCACTAACATGATACCTGGAATGGTGGGACTGTCCTATGAAAAGTGACTAAAATCTCTAAACTTGTTTTCTCTGGAGAGGAGAAGGGTCAGAGGGTGTTTGATTGAGGTGTTTAAGATTATTAAGGGTATTGCTAATATAGATCCATCAAATGTTTTGGTGTTTAGCAGTGAAAACAATAGAACAAGGGGTCATAAGTTCAAAATTTGGCAGCTTAGGAGTCGTCTGCAGTTTAGGCAGTATTACTTTTCAAACAGGGTGGTTGGCTTTTGAAAAGAGCTGCCTTCAAGGGTGATGGAGGTAGAAAATTTAACTAGTTCAAGAAACGATTGGACGAATACATGAGTAGTAAGGGTGGTTATAGTTGGGAGCTGGAAGGGACATCCTTGATGGGCTAATAAGCTCCTTTTTGTCCCTTTAAAATTTTGTAAATTTATGAAAATGTATACTGTTATTGATTACAAAGATTATAATGCATTGTTTCATCTGTTGGGTATGTTTATTTGCTTGCAATTAAGCACAAAGCTACACAATGAGCTATGTGTGCTCCGCCAACCACGGGTATCGAAAACCAGTTTCTAGCGATGTAAGTCCATATTCCTTATAATATACCTCACGAAGTTCGGCCAAGTTAGGAAATCTAGGTTATTCTTAAATCTATAAAATATGCTAAAAAAAGAAAAATAATCTATATAATAAAAATATTATCAAATAAGCCATATGAGGTTTTAGTATTTCAAGGAGTGTTAATTTGTTATAAATTGAGTATACTATAACAATTATGTGTGTTAATTACTTAAATAGTTTAACATATATTTATTCACAACTTATCAGAACACAATTTCACGATTAACAGATTTAGATTTATGTCCAATCTCAGAGCTTTTGAATCATAACACGAAACCATCATTTCATCTCTATCTGTGTAATATATATATAATGTAATACATATGCTTGTATTTGCTTCTACCAGGAAACTACTTCGAATTTTATATAATTAAATATAGTCCCGCGGTGGGACAGCGGTAAGTCTTCGGATTTACAACACTAAAACCGGTAGTTCGATTCCACTCGGTGGACACAGCAGATAGCCCGATGTGGCTTTGCTATACTAAAACACGCAAAATACACACGTTAAATATATGCAAACGCTTGTTTTTGTTCTAAAGTCCAAATAAGGTTAAAACGACTACATCTTTACTTTAAATTTACGTTTTGATCTTAAAAAAGTATATTAAAACAGTGTTAGGCCTTGATTATTTAAAATGTATAATAGAAATTTACATAAAGCATGCTTCAGAACTAAGATATAGAACATTTGTTCGGTATCAGATGAAGCATATTTACTTATTAGGTAGATGATGTTTCTGTTCTCCACAAAGTATATTACACTCGTGAGAAACTTGTATTTTGAATTACTTGAAGGATGTTACTTTCCTCCACAAAGATGGTTCCACTCATGATATCATTATTTTCTGTACTACTTGAAAGAGGATGCTTTTCTTAGCTGAATGATACTGTTAAGACAATAAAGTCAAAATGAGGTCTTGAATACAGCATTCGTGCATATTAAAGTTTATCATGCCTTAAATACGTATGTTGTCACGATAGTTATATTTATATGTGTGTGTGTGTGTGTTTTACTTTGCATTTTAAACTGCGTTTTACGTTTGTAACAGGCTTGGCTACTTCTGGTAGTGAAGGACCATCATTTATTTTGGAACCAGCCAATCAGGTGAGGTTTTACAACACATCTGGAGTAGTCATTCCGTGTTCAGCAACCGGAAATCCAATACCAATTGTATACTGGACAGATGGATTTGGGAATCGCCTGGAGGATATACCTGGCTTAAGACACATTCGTTCTGATGGATCGCTGATATTTTCGTCATTTCCTGTCGACAAATATCAGCAAACTGTACATTCAGCCTTATATTGGTGTGTTGCTTCAAACAAAGTTGGAGCGATTAGAAGTAGAGACGTGCACGTGCAAGCAGGTAATTACACTAATTAAAGTTCTTAAATTTAATTAGTTAAAATTTGTATTGTTGGCTAGACGGTGTGCCCATTGTGCTATGTTGGTGAATACTGTCCTCCATATTTAATTGTGCTTCTATCTAGAAGTAAGTAACATCATAGCAACAACAACTTTAAAATATGATGAAGAAAATAATAGTGCAAAGAAGATCAATAAAAAATCAGTTGTGTCAAAACTATCTTTTTTAACAATGAAGTATTATCCATGTTTTTTTGTCTTTAACAATGAAGTATTATCCATGTTTTTTATGTCTTTACAGATTTACTCATACTTTGTTTCATGTAATTACTGCTGTGATGATAAAAGTTCTCTACTATGCTTTTGTTCAGGAGTTTAATCAGCAAAATATTAAGTTCTTTAAAAGCTACGTTTTCTACATGGAGTTTTAAATTTTCAAATCTCCTAAATTTGCCTTAAAAATATCGAATTATGTGTACATAATAAAACTAGGAAAGGAATGAAATGCTTAATAATCTAGAAATCAGTGAACCTGGATAATGTTAGTTAAATTATTGTCGTACGCCTAATTTGAGCGAGACATTGTATTAAACCATTTCATAATTAATCACTATATAAACTAAAAATAGTAGTTAAACATTAGCAGAAAGAAAAACATATGCTTAAAAATGAAGTTTCGTTTTACTAAGATATATTTTTTATATAAACTTCTGTGCGTATATCGCTACATTTCTAAACAAATTGTTAATAACTAAAGTTTAAGTTTTTAAACGTGAATTACTTTCGTGAAACGTCTATTATCGTTTTTAAACAACATCAGTTTACATAATCAAAACCGAATGGAAATAAGCAAGGTGGTAAAGTTAACAATAAATTTTCAAAGGTATTCATTTTCAGCCAGTAGTAATAATTAAAAATAAGAATATTATGCAAATAAGATTTGGTACAAAAACGTACAATTTTCTGTTTTTGCAGCTGTACAAAACGTACTAAACCGAAAGAAAGCAATAACGTATATATATATATATTAATGAATCTTTATAAAGTATACGTCATTTACAAACCAGTTTTGCATGTTCTAGGATATTTTACATTGCTAAATCAAATAATTTCGGCAACATTTTTGCCACAGTTTAAATTAATATTATTAACATTATATATGTTCAAAGACTGCCACTTCTGTGATTCACATTTTTCACTTTGGAATAATTTACTCAGGTGTAGCCAAACGACAATCGACTACCAGCTTCAGAATAAGAAAATTTTCTTGCGCATATCATGAAACGGTTCTTGCAATATAAATATATAACTTGGTCCAGATATAAGTCCTATTGACCTAACTAGACTGAATTTATTTTTGCTGGTAGAAACTGTATATTTTTCAGGTATATATTGTTTTACTTACTGGTAGAAATAATTTTTATTTCAATTCAAATTAGTATAACAGAGGCAAAAGTTTGCTTAAATGGGTTAAAAAACCTTCGTTTAGTTCTAATATATGAGATTAATGAATGACAATAGAAGCACTTCACAATACAGAGGAAACGCTCTGGTTATAGTTCACTTATGGTTTAATTTATAAATAATAGGAAAAATTTATAAATAGGGTAAAAATAGGGAACTAAGTGATAATAATTAAATCTTCCTAATAAAAAACAGAAGAGCTGTTAAGAAGCTTGGTCATTAGGCTTTTTGGAATAATTTTTTTTATTCAGTTTCATATATATTCTAAGGCAATTTCAACACATTAGTTACAAAAATCAGCATGATGAATGCAATTTCGGTAAAATTAAAAGATAGACATGCACATTGTAATATAGAAATGAATATTACAGTTAATGAAATACATTATTTATACTATAATATTAAACGATACCATTCCAAACGATTGGTTAAGCATACATCACAGTCAATTCCTTGGTTCTATTTTACATTATCAGATCAATAGAAAGCTCTACGGTAACTCAGAAGTCAGTTTAAGGTTTCATTGATTTTTAAAGTTGACATATGATATCATTTCTGCTTTTCAAAGTCATAATTAAGTCACAACTTCCGAAAGCACACATATTCAAGCTTTTGCTAAGCGTACTGATTTATTATTGAAGCTAACAAAATTCAGCCACGATTTAATAGCAAGATTACCAAACACAATGACTAGGTTTATCATAATCTAAAATTCAGTTAAACACATCATATTCATACAGGCTGTATTATTCAGTAGGGTTCGCAAGTGTTGCTAATGGACCTATCAACACAGAAAATACGAACTAAGTTGGAAAACTGAGTATACGATATATTAGTTATCAGTTCAACGTCTAGGTTTCAGTAAAACTGATTAATAAACTTTAATATATCATATACTTACACTATTCATCAAAGTGCATATATTGACTTAGAGGTAAGGTACAAATTTGTCCCATAATAAAGGGCCCGACATGGCAATCTGAGGGTCGAGTGTTCGAATCCCCCAACCCATCAAACATGCTCGCTCTTTCATTAGTGGGGGCTATCTGCGCTAGCCGTCCCTAATTT